GGCGCCCACTGAGACCTCTTCGAAAGGGAAAACCTTAAAACCATTTGTGGTCTGATTTTCTCTATCGAAAATAATTTAGTCCTTTGAGGAGAACCGATTTCGCTAGAACAACTAAAGAGAAATAGAACAACAAAAAAATAATGAAGCGAAATGTAAACAGTCAGAACGAAGACACTCATTCCAACCTTTTTACGCAGTTCTTCCAGCTTTGCTTCATTCCTAGCCAACGCTACTACTGTAGCTCCAGCTTCAGCCAGGGCTATTGTGATGCCATAACCGAGGACCTGAAACGGTTGGATCTGATAAAGAACCGACTTATTCTCCACTGGAGTGGTATGAAACAATAAAAAGGCGAAAAAACGAAAAAAGCGAGCCTAGTAGAAAGTGAATGCGTAAATGTTTGTCATTAAGAATTGAAATCTACAACCTTCATACCTTGACTAGCTCCGGTGACAAGGGCTTTCTTGCCGTGGAAGTCGAAAGATATACTCATTTCTAGGAAATCGAACAGCCAAAAACAATCCGATGGCAAGACACAGAAACGCTGGGCGGCCTTGATTGAATTTTGTTATCAATCATCGACTGCCGCCGACCAAACCGTAGCAGGTGGTCGTTGATCTTTCCAGGTGCTCGCGATGTCTAGTTCTGCAATTGCACGGCCTACCATTCTTTTCTTGTGAAGGTTTAGCTCACCCATCTGGACTGCTGTTTCTAGTGGAGTCTATCGAGAGTGTAAAAAGGACTCGAAGCAAGAAAGGACCACACAGATGATTATACCATCACCACTCAAACTCCTGTGTAGTCCAAGGCATCCCAAGTGCGGCATCGCACGCAAGCCAGCGGGGTATTTCCTAGCTAGTCCATATGACACTCCTCTAGTGCGAGTTAGCCCATCTCGGATGTGCTGAACATCCCGGAATTCCCCATTTCCCGGCTCACAGTCATTACCAGACCCTCCCTTCCCCGAAAAGGGATGCCTACCGCAAGTATAACAGAGAAAGCCCTGACTACAACGACAAGTAGCGCAGTTCGTATCACTGCCCGGTAGTAGAGTTGACAGATGCCCCTCACCTAGTAGAAAAGTGCCAAACTATTTCCTGCTGCTGCGCGACGTGGAGATGCCTTACAGAAACACGCCTGAATTTCGCTTGCGAACCGTCGGGAGGACTGGGTTCTCATGCTGCTTCGAAGGCAAGTGAAAAGATAAATCCTCGAAAGGTGTAGGACCAATGCGCCTAGCAGGACAGAATTCAGCGCTCTGAGCAGGCACTGCCTGGCGCCTTCTCCAACGAAGATACCTCATATGATCACCCTTATAGTGTTCGAACAAGCTGCTGCAAACCCGGAGGCCCACCGCGAACGCCCCCCCCCCCCTCCACAAATGTCCGACCGCGTGCTGTGCCTCGTATTGCTGACGGACAACCCCATGTGGCTCGCACACTAGATTCTCCAATACAAGCACTGCTGAACAAAACTTCATAAGCGGTTAGCTGTACGCTTTCGCTTACGAGTTTTCCGTCGCACGATGCCAACGGGAAACTCGTCCGAAATTGCTTCCTGAGTTGTGTAGAACAAAGGGTTTTTATGCAGGCTTCTGAGCGTTTCACTTCTTTTTTCGCCACTTTTCCACTATAAAGCACCTCTGCTACCATTTCAGACGTCTAAATTATCGTGGCTCAGGCCTTTAATTCTTCACAACCAAATCCAAGGGAATGTATCTCGTGAACTAGACAATGTCGAGATAAATGTTGTCAGAAAATGGGAAAAATAACAATGTCATGTTATTGTTTATCAAATAAGAGAACTGAAGAATGTTTTTCTTCTTTTTTTATTACACACACCAGTTTTTTAAATTCTTTTTCTCGACCACTAAATCAATTGAAAGCTTGCACGACAAAATTTTGCTCGTTCGAAGAACAAGAACTCGCGTGTGCTTTTCACCATCCCCATCAAAACCTTAGCCGAAACATACTTCAATCAAGAGCGAAGGCAGTTCAGCGCAATCTAGAGACAGATTATTTCAATGCATAATTTGTTTTCCGAATTTGTTCTCTTCGCAAGGGGAGACATCACTGTCAAGTGAGGAGTCATCGTGCAGTCGGCCTGTCCATTTACGCACGGTAATCTGCTCCAAACAGGGCACGCAACGCGACCGCGGCTGTATCCCTAGCTGTACTAGAGCACGGAATTTGTGAGAGTTCGATCTGACCAGGAAAGCCAGCAGGACAGCCCCGCCATTTGCGATGAGGTGCACATCGCCTACTCATCTTCAGACGGTGAACTCAATTATCTTCAAAATTTGCGGAACGATTCTCTGAACGTAGTTATGGAGGCTTTTCTTTACTTTTTTTACGAGGTACGCGTGCGCCGAAGAAATTTGGCCACCTAGGTTGCGGCACACGATATTCTTCGCGCAAAAGGGTGTTATATTCGTGTTGAGGGGGTCAAATAACCCCTAGCAGCGGCACGCTAACGAAATCAGAGATTTTGACTCAACTTCGAAAAAATGGGCGGGTTAGTAAGTTGTGGCCGACGGTAGGTAACAGCGATACTACGACGAGCTTACTGGTGGTGACCGATATTCCAGCTGGAATAACCCTTCAGTCATGTCTTCTCGCGAAGAACATAACCTTGCTCACTTCATCGGGCTGCCTGCATCATTTTAATTACCGGAGGAAATTCCATCCGAGGCGCAGTCATCGATGGTAGTTGAGCTCCAATCTGCAGCTAATTACCATGGAAGCCTACATTATCAAGTTAGGTCGAAATATCAGATTTTGCTAGAAAGTTGTCCCCAGGGGTAAATTGACCTACAGAACATAATATTATACAATTTCATTGCGAGAACCCTTGTGACATAAGTAACGAGGGGGACAAGCACAAGCACTCTTTCTGGCCGTAACGTTCTACATTTCAGGAAAAAAACTGATCACAAGTTCCCTTATGGGCCAGTGCAGGCGAGCAGAGGTGTTAAAAGCTTTGTCGGCCACGTTTATAAAAATGCGAAAACGGGCGACCTCGCGGCGAACCGATCCTATGACTTGCGACTGGTAAACACCTCATACCTGATTCCGCGTCTTCTATCAATTTGTGAGCGACATGTACATATGTATGCTAAAGTATGAATTCACGCTTTCCTAGCGATGGAATGTAAAGCAACCACTCGGTTAGAAAACCCTCCATAACTCCGTTAGAGAATCGTTCCGCAAGTCTGAAAGGAAGATTTAAGTTCACCGTCTCGAGACGCGTGCAACGATATGCACCTCATTGGAAATAGCCGGGCTGACCTGTGACCATTTCTGGTGAGAAGAGAAGGACCGAGGGTTTTCTTGGAGGAGGTCTTTCTGACATAGCACTTGCCATAGCCCAGTGGTCATGTAGTGCCCACATGGCCTTCACCTTTGCAGTCGATTCGAGTGCTGTACGATGAAGTATGCCGCAGAAGCGGAGACATAGGGAGACTAGATTACATGACGGTATTACACAATATAAAACGCAAACCGACCGGACCCCATTGTTCTACTCGCGCCGATTTTCTATTAGGTAGTCCGGAAAATTCTCAGCGTTTTGAGTGTTTCACTTTGAACAGCCATAACTTTCTTATACTCAATCGGATTGATCGAAATAAGCACGCTTCAATTAGGCACACGTCTTTGCCAGTGTGACCACCAGCCGAAAAAATTCCATCAAAGGCAAGAAACTGGGTGTTCAGAATCACGAAAATCCTTGCCAAGCTTTTTTGCCTGGTCCTGAATTGCATGAAGCAATATTTAACAGCAAGGAAATGGGCTAAAATCGTTTGAAATAGTCGGTTGGTGATAGGTCTGGAGAATATGGCGGTGAGGTAGAACTTCAACCCCCAATTCGTTCAATTTATGGATAGTGATTTGTGAAACGTGTGGGCGGGCGTTGCCATGCAAAAGAATCGGACCCTTTCTTTTGATAAGTAAGTGTTGGACTGAATTCGACGATTTCTTCACAGTAGGGTCCCTGCTACGGAACGTCTCCTATATGATACATGAATTCATGTTTCACACAGGTTGCACTAATTTCGTCCAAAAAACGGGTCCGTATTTATCTGACGCGACAAAGCAGTGAAGAGAACCTCGAGACGTGCAATTTCTGCCGGTCACTCAAATTGTGGGGCACCCACTTGTCGAGTTTTTTCACCTTCCCAATGCGTTTCAGACCATCTGCAACAGTGGATTTGCCAACGCCTAGCTTTTCTGCAATCTCTCGAACTGTTTGGGATGGGTCAGCCTCCACAAACGCCGATCCTCGTCAAGTATTGCTTTAAGTGCCGCTACGAGTGTTCAGTTTCAAGGCTGCATCCCAGAACGAATTTGTAGAACCCATTTGTGCACGGCTGCTTTCTCCAACACCTGCTGGGCCCCCCACCTGCGTTAATTTGCTCGAGCTGCTCGGACTGTGCGATTGACCCAGTTATGTAGTTGAGAAAAATATGTCCGATGTTGCTCTTTTGACATTGCCCTTGTAAAAGCCGCGTTATCAAGAGATGGCGTGAAAAGCAATTACACCATCAGATAGCGCAAAAATTCCTACAGGATGTACTACTGAGATGCAAGGGAGAATGTGTTCTAATTAGCAATGAATGTGACGAAAAAATAGACCTAGTATTTTTCTCTGCGCTCCCATGTCTACCACACTGACCTTATGTATCCAAACTTTTACGCCTGAAAAGAGGTTCGTCCACCTCGAAGTCCCCTTCCGGTGATGAAGCCCTTGATCGAGGTATGTTTTTGCACCTACATATGTCGCAATCCTCTGTTTCTTTGCGCTCGCGAGGACCACCACGAGGAGTTTTGCAAGGCTGGCAGCCCTCAAAATTACATGTTATATTGATGGCGGTGTTTTCGAGAAGAATGACGGTATCAGCGCACTCGCCACTCACGTTTGATTTGCGAAGTGGTTCAGCGTTTGCTGTTGCGAACAGGATTACCTTTTATGAAGCAGAAATTCAATGCCCTTCTCTTATACCTAGGGAATCAAGAGATGAATCTTCATTCATTTATGTTACATATGTTCATGTTCCTCCTCGAAGACTTTCAAACACACACATTATAACCACATCCAGTAGGACAGCACTTCTTTCCTCGACAGTCGTCATTCTGGCGACACCAGTTCGTGGGCCTTATCACCTGAAATACCGTTACTATTCAGCTGTTGTTGTTATTATCTTACCATCTACTTACGTTA